TCCAGTCCATCACTGTCCATGAGTTGGCGTACGATGATGGTGTGCCCCTTACAAACTTCCGCCACATGGGTCAGGTGCATTGGACTTCATTTGGATCTGTGGGTAACTGCGGGTTGTCCTCACAGCCAATTCCCTCAGGTACTGGATACCTCTCTCCATGGTGGTCCACTTGCCTGGATGACATACATCATCCTCACTGAAGAGATACCTTTCCCTCACACCTGACAGAAGTCGCCTCCAGAGGCTGAGGGCTTGTGTCTTTTTTCCAATTGCTTTGTCAATGACCCCTTCCCTAGACAGGGATCCCAGCTGCCTGGCTTCCCTACCCTCTAATTCCAGCCTACTGGCCCCATTATCCCCGCATCGGAGCGGCCAGCTGACAAGTTCCTTGCCTAACGGACGACTGAAATCGTCGTCATCCTTTACTAAACGAGTTGACTTTCGTGTGCGTTTCTTCTTGTGCACAGGGGCGACTGAGACCGGTATGGGTTGGTTCTCTGGCTCAGCTGCAGGGGCTTCTGTATAGGGGCAATTGATAGTAGCAGACTTTGGTTTTTTGGTTCAGCCCCAGTGCCTGCCACAGGGGTTTGAGTAGCCACAGTGCCTGCTGCCAGGGTTGGGGTAGCCCCAGTGCCTGTCGGTCTGTTTTCCCTCTCTTCCCCCTGATGGCGCTGCCTGATATCAAGTAGTGTTTGGTAGATACTGGCCAGGGCCCAGCACAGTGCGGTAAGTGTGCCTCCTTGGAACAGCCACAGCATTTTCCTCTCAATTTTCTATCACTTCATCAGGCTCCTGTAGTTGTTCAGGAGTGAAGCTCCAAACCATTGGAGGTGAGAAGCTCTCTAGATACCTGTCCATATTCTCCCACATGCCATGCCACCCATGACTATCCAGCCGTGGGGCAGATCTCTGGGTGGTATTCTTAAAACAATTTTTTGTAACCCTAAACATGACTTGAAACACACTCAGGAGACATAGTAATAGGAGCATGCTGGCTTGAACATCCCAAGGGTATCCAAAAATTCTCAAAAGCTGTTGTAACCTGCCTGAAGGAAAAAGGGGAGGTGAAAGAGTGGGAGAAAGTATCCCCCCTCTCTTCCCCATAGATTAGCAGTGATTATTAATCAATTCCAAGAGATGTTGTCCAAGGTACAGGCATGACAACAATGCCACATACAAATACCAGCTTAACCTCATAACCAGTGCTGTTATCATATGAGTCGATATTACACCACAGCTCAGCAAAATGAGAATCCTGACCCCTCTCCCAGAGGCAATAAACAGCACCACAGGGAATACTACAGCAAGTAAGTATTTACACAACACAACCATGTGAACAAACAAAACACCATTGTGACCAGCAACTGTTTATCTAATATGACAACTGCGAATATTTAACTAATATACTAAATGTTTATAACAACTGTGCTTTAACATGCTCTGGTCAGATCTGTTGTTATCTCAACCACGTTGGGCACCAAAAAGGACTGTCGTGATTCAGCCCCAGCTGGCCGCTGAGCACCATGCAGCCGCTCACTCACCTCTTCTGCCCCCGGTGGGATAGGGAGCAGAATTGGAAGGAAAAGAGGGTTGGGATAAGGACAGTTTACTGGGGCAGCAAAGGGAGAGGGAAATAACAACAGTACTTTTAGAATATACAAAGTGGGTGATATACACAATGCAATTTACTGAGCTGACAGCCACACCCTCAGCTGATCCTGGAGCCTCTGCTCCTCCAGGGCTAGCACGACATTTTTGTGCTGAGCGTGACATCATATGGTATGGAATACCCCTTTGGCTAATTTGGGTCACCTATCCTGGCTGTGTCCCCTCCCCACTCCTTCTGAAAATTAACTCTATCCTAGCCAAAAACCAGGACACCCTTCCTTGTGCTGACACACAGACTTCTGGCACTGGGTGACCCAAGTTAAGCATTTGCACACTCTCTCCAGCCATGCCCAGCAGCTGCCATACTGACTGAGCTTCTCAAAACACCGTTCAGCAAAATATTTTGTTAAGGGAAACTGGCTTTTTGCAAAAACTGGTGTAACTTTTTTTTTTTTTAATATATTCTTGTTTACTCTGTGGCAACTTCTTTTTTTTTGAAAACACAAAGAAAGCATCAGAGAGGAAGGGAGAAGTGTTTCAAGTCTATCCTCTGGAGAGCAATTTGAGTGATTTGAAAAGAGCTGTGGCACTTGATATCTACTGAAGGTTTGAATCAGTAAATAAAAGTGGTGTTTTATTTTTCTCTTCTATGATCACTGTTGCAAGCTGGAGTCACTCAGTGCCCCATGTTTGATTTCAGAAGCTGTACGAAAGAGTGGTTGGACCAGAAGGTAATCACTATTTAGTGAAGCACTTATGGACAGTCTACATGATAAGCCAAAAAAACAGCAGGCCATGGATAAAAACAGTGCAGCATTGAAGCAACCTTCTGAAAGAAACAAATCTACTGTGAAGAAAGGTATTTTTCCATCACCTTCCTTACAACCATCTTTAGAAGCTTTTGCAGTACCTCTCCCATCAGAAGATGAAGATTTTCTGATGTCAGAGAACATGACTGAGAGACAGCCTAACTATGAGCAGCAGTTGAAGAAGCAGAATTATGAAGAACAGGACAAGGTAAGGCAGATACCAGAAGAGGGCATAGATCCTCCCCCACTCTTACTTTGTGTCCCCAAATGAATTCCCTTGTCTCTTTGAGCAATCTGCACTTGTTAGGTCTAAGCAGAGGAGTACTTTTGGGATCAGGGCCAAGCAATCACTTGTGTAACTAAGAAGATGATAGGTACCTGCAATTAATCTGCAGGCATAAAAAAATGCAGGTGTAAAAAAAAGGATGGCAGCACTCTTGCAGCTAATTTCCTGTGCAACGTGTATCTATTTCATTGGTAACAGCAAATGTTGAACAGAAATCCTAAAATCTGAGATATTTTTTTTACTTGAGGCTCTGCTACCTTCAACAGAAATATGAAGAAAGGTTAATAATAACCTGTGTTGAATGTCTGACATCATTGTTTTTAAGTTTGTGTCATAGTTAATGAGGTTCCTTGAGAATGGTTAGGATTTACTAGCTAGTAAACATTGTAGTGAAGATAGTGGGGAGGGGTTACCAATAAGGCTTTAAAATGCCTGCCATCAGTAATGTGTGCTTTCTCATCTTGAAATAAAAATCTGCTCTGTTTGATTACATCTGATTGATAGACATATTTTCAGAGGTGGCTTTCTTAGACAAAGGTGATGGTGGGAAACTTCAAATTTTCTTTTCAAAAAATCAGGTATGAATGTGCCTGGCCTGTTAAGGTCTATAAAATATTGGTGTTTTCAAAATTGCATTTCTAAATGCAGCAGTCAGACCGGAACGTGGAGAGATGAACTGGGAGAAAAGACCAAGCTGATCTTTACACACTTTAGCTGGGTATATTTAACATCAGGTGGGCCAGTTTTCTAAAGGGCTAGAAATTATTCAGTTTGTTTTCATGAAAATGAAAAACCTGTGATAATATCTGTCACATGTATCAAAACCAAAAAATGACAATAATCAGTCATTTAAAACAAATCACTCATATTCATCCCTTACCCAAGCCTAAAATGAGGCAAAGAAAGAAGAGCCACGATGATCTAAAAGATTTTAGCCACCTGTTAAGGACACTATGGCAGAATGCTTTTGGTGCCTACACACAAACTAGATCTTCAAACTTCAAAACAAAGACTTAATAAGCTATTCTGTACTGAATTCTCTTATTACTGGGACTAGTCTTCACTTGCATGCACATACTTCAGTACATCTGTAGATGAGTGGAAGAAAACGGTAGTTACTAAAAAAAATAAATTAACAAAGCACATCTAGTAATGACGTCTCCTTTTACTCTTTACCTTCTCAGGATAACTTACAAAGTTTAGTATTTTTACTAAGAATGGTCATTGAGTCAACCTCGACTGATTTTGTTGTATTTACAGACACCTGTATACAACATGGAGGTGCAAGAATGCACAGTGATATGAAGTACAGCTTGATGCCAGTGTATAAGCTTTACTAGAGAACGATGAACTGAAAAAGATGCCTAAAAGTGGTGGGTTTTTGTGGAAACAACTTATTTTAAAAATATGGAAAATTCATTGTAAGTTTAATTCTAGCAGGCAGCAGAACATACCTTGTACAAACAATATGAGGAAAAGATCCGCCCCTGCATTGATCTTGTCGACAGTCTGAGAGCTCTTGGCATAGAAAAAGACCTGGCTTTGCCCGCGATCACAGTGATCGGAGACCAGAGCTCTGGGAAAAGCTCTGTCCTAGAAGCCCTGTCTGGTATTGCTCTTCCTAGGGGCAACGGTAAGAATTCACCTTCTCAAGTTTTCACTTGAATTTCATTTTGATGAGGTGGAAGGCTTTTTCTTTTTTTTTTTTTTTTGTATAGGAGTGGATAACTCCATGACTGAGACTATATCTAAATTGTTAGACTCCAGAGACCTTCTCATCTCTGGTTTCCAGTAGAAGAAATGGATGTACAGGTGGGGCACTGCAGGGTAACTCCAACAAGGCACACGTTCTGGGTGGTCAAGAGACCACGAGTAAGAATAGTCCAGTGTATCATACTTGCCCCAAACTGTGGACAGATTGCAAGGTCTGACTGTGTATTTCCGAGCAAAGAGTAGTGCAGCAGAGTTATCTGTTTCACATGGAAGACTAGTTTTTAAATTTGCTTGTTTGTTGTTGGGGGGGTTTTTTATCAAGATTTTCTTACAGATAGATACCTTTTTTTGGCAAAAAATGTGCAAAGATCTTTACAACAAACGTGTGCCTTTGGAAGACTTTGCAGCTCAAGAAGATTCACTTTCCAGCTCTGTGTGTCTGCGTGTGTGTACACACACACATAAGTTCTGCAAGTTCTGTGTGAGCTGACAATACCATCTAGTCTTTCAGGCTGGACCTGAGGAAAAGATTTTCATAGGATGTAACCAAGTCACCCAGAGAGGTGTGAATCTCCATCCTGGGAGGTTTGCAAGACAAGACATGGCTGGACAAAGCCATGACTGACCTCACCTCATGCCGGTGGCAGTCCCACTCTGAGAGGAAAGTCAGATGAGAGCACTTTGGCAATGTCTCTTGAAACATTTGTGTGTCTCTGGGTGAAGTGTAAAGTATCCCTGTGTACACTACACAGTCTCTGTATCATGCATAACAAGTGCTAAGAGACTTACCTCTGTCTTTGGAACTGCTGCAGGTATAGTTACACGGTGTCCCTTGGAACTTAAACTGAAAAGAATACCTGCTACCCAGGCATGGAAAGGGAAAATTTGTTACCGCAACACCAGCACAGAGCTCAAGAGTGCCTGTGAGGTGGAGAAAGCAATAAGAGAAGGTGAGTTTGTAACATATTCCCATCCAATTTGGCTTGTTCGGTCTCCTTTAAATCCTTTCTCCCCTTTTCTTAGGCTGCGCAGCAGTCCCCAGACTTAACACAGTGAATGTAGCCACAAGTAACACCAAGAGCTTAATTCAGAGCACAAGAAGGTGGGGTAGCATAATATAGCTCTCTCAAGAGAGTTGTACTACTTATTACTTCAGTGGTGAAGATGGTCCATGATGTCCAATAAAAGCTCAGGCCATGTCCTCATCTGGATGCTGTCTGTCTGGTTTGGGGAGGTTGTCTGTCAAGTTGTAGACTTGGAAAGCCCTAAGTAATTCCTGTCATCAGTTCAAAAGCTCAGAGAATGCTTGAGGTGTCTGTAGCTTGAAATCTTATTATTTTGGAGAAAATTACAAGAAGGTAGCATGATCTTAAAGGTCTTTTCCAACCTAAACAATTCTATGATTCTATGGAGACCATATAGAGCTTCTGCCAGGTAATGTGACTGCAGCCTCAAGCGTTACCCTTCCCATGTCACAGCTTTACTTTTATGGTATTTCATGCAGTGCAAGAAAACATTTTTCTTACCCAAAAGGTAGTAAGCATTTGCCGTAAATGGGAAAGTTGGACTGTCCTTATTTCCTTGACTAGCACAGCTCTACAACATTGTTATACGTCCTAGTGCTTTTTCATTAGCTTTTCAATCTATTATTTGGATATTTTCAATATATCCTTCCAAAACTGGCAAGGCAAGTGGTATGAATGGATTAAACTAATTACAGAGCTGAAAATCTCTCATGAGAACAACTATGGGGTTTCCTTACTCCTTTGTGCTGTTCACAGTTCTAACATTACTGTCTTATAAGATCTGAGATTAATTACTTGATATCTCAACCTCATTATCAAAGTGGGAAGAAAATAGAGTAACAGCTATTTATATTTCAAGGCAGCAAATTAATGCCTAAACAGTGTCTTGATGTTGAAGAAGCATTTCTGCAACTGACCTGTATCTTATTCAATCACTTCCATTGTGTTTTATTTACATGTATTCTGTCTGCATATGTGAGAGTTCGTTGATATACGCTCTGTAAAATAGTACTGTTCACATTCCAGAAGGACTCCACGTATCCACATATGGCATAACAATTTCCTTAGATTTTTGCATAAATGGGTTTAGGTGCGTGACTGGATCTGAAAAAAACCAAGCCTAAAAGAACCTTAGGTGGTAGTAGATACTTTTCAAAGTCACTGTGTTCAGCTTTTCTTGGATGCATTGTTTGAAGCTTGTATTCATTGCCCTGCTCTTTTCTCCTTGTAGCCCAGGATGTTGTGGCTGGTACTAGAGGTGCCATTAGTGATGAACTAATTTCCCTAGAAATTCGGTCACCAGATGTCCCAGATCTGACACTAATTGATCTTCCTGGAATTGCCAGAGTGGCTGTGGGGGATCAGCCAAAAGACATTGGGGAACAGGTAAAACTCAGTCTCATATGCTAGTCTGTGCTCCGGGTCACTTCTGTAAGCTGCCTCATATGCGAGCCTTTGCTGTAGGATGCTGGAGTTGTTACGCTGGGCTTCTGAGCCAGCAATAGACCTATGCTAACAAACAGGCCTATTTTTCAGGCAAGGAATTCCTGATAGGAACAGTGAGGTCCAGGATCCCCTGTCTGCCCTCTCCCTCCATGCAGGAGGGAGATGCCCACACTAGCTGTGAAGGAGCCACCTCATGTGCCTTGACACAGCCTACCCATGGCAGCACGGAATAACCAGGCTGTACGGACCCTGAACACAGTGCTGTCCCTTGGCTAGACTGCAGTCTGGAAGATAAGATATGTCACAAAATGAGTTTTATCTTACCAACTCCATGGATATATTTGGCAAAGATAGATAGATGTGAGTTCTTGTAAGCTCTTCCAGAGCAAGGTAGCAAATTTGCCCACTTATAGGTTCATTGCTCTGTCATCCCTTACTTACAGAGCACATCAGAATCAGACCCATCCTGGTTTTTCTCATCCCTTAAGGGATGCCAGCAGACACCCTTCTGAAGTAAACAGCATATGCTTTAAACTGAAGGGGATCTCTACTCTTAACTCTGGCTGCTTTTAGAAGAAATGCTGGGGAATGCAAATAAAATTATAGTTGGACAAGGCCAGCTGTGAGGGTGATTTGCAGGAGCTGGGTGTATTTTTTCTCCTAAAATACCTTTAAATAGGAACTTAGAATAAGAGTAACACAAACTGAACTAGACATATCAACGAAAATGAGACAAGATTGGATTGACTGGGCTTTACTCTCTGGGAGAAGAATAATTTCATTTCACAATTAGATAGTAATCTTTCTATTGTATTCACAGATTCACAGATTGGTAGGGGTTCGAAGGGACCTCTAGAGAGGTCTACTCCAACCCCCCTGCTACAGCAGGATCACTTAGAGCAGGTTGCACAGGATG